ATTGATTTCGCAGTGGGAGCAGTGCTAGGTCAACGTAGGAGAAATGTCTTGCATGTCATCTACTATGCTAGTAAAACATTGACAGATGCTCAGACCAACTACGCAACAATTGAAAAGGAAATGCTAGCAATAGTATTTGCCTTTGATAAATTTCGTTCTTATCTGATTGGTTCGAAGGTGATAGTCTACACAGACCATTCTGCTTTGAAGTATTTATTTTAGAAAAAAGATGCCAAACCCAGGCTGATTCAATGGGTTCTGCTACTGCAAGAGTTTGACATTAAAATTTCGTGATAAGAAGGGGATAGAAAACCAGATAGCGGATCATTTATCAAGATAACATAAATGTCGACCCACTATTTCGATTTTGCTAGTCCTTAGGAACAACATAGCAACAGAAAAATCTAGAGGCCAAGCGTTGATTCTTTCTCCCGGGCATTATGCTTTTCGATCAACAAGCTACAAGTACAAGACACGTAAAATTAAGGAAAACTTACAGAAGTTTGTCATTTTTTTGATAACCGTGGATGTTCGGGCCAGCTTGCGCGCACCTCGACTAATTCCACGGGGCCCTAAAGTTTACAGTCGGGTACTCACATCAGTGGCCCTGAGGGGATTCGAACTGGTGACCATTGGGGAGCAAACCTAAGACCTAACCAATTGAGCAACCCCTCAAGGTTTTTGTCATTTTGTATCAAAGGTTGTTTCTCACATGCATATAGGGCAAGTCAATTTTAGCCACCGAGCTAATAGATGCTATTTCGACATCAAATTCAGTAAAGAAAGGACTTATGACCATCAAACAAGTTAGAACTGGCATAGGAGTTCAAACAATCGTTTGAATCAGAACATTATTCAAAAATTTATTGGAACAAAGTTAGCCAAAAAATTCATAGACCCTTCACTAGCACAGGACCAATTATAGCTCAAACAAAGTTATACAAATGCCATGCTAATGGTGCAAATAACCTTTTTTTCTGGAAAAACCATCATACACTGTAAACTCATTATGATCCCTTGATTAGTGAAATCCACTTCCTGCAAGGAAGTTTAAAAAATGATTTATTAACGAAGGAAATAAAACCAGTAAAACACAGACAGCTAATTTCTGAACACGGGCTACTAAAACTTCTTTAATAATGGCTTTAGAGTAGAAGGGGAAAAGGGAGGGAAACAGTTTTCAAGAAGTATTTCAATGAATGTGTGACCCAACAAATGAATATGGTCCTCTCAAGTCATTGACATTCATATTTATCAACCATAGTGATGCAATATTCAATTTTTTTTTTTGATAACCGTGGATATCCGGACCAGCTTGCGCACACCTCGACTAATCCCACGGGGCCCTGAAATTTACGGTCGGATACTCACCTCAGTGACCCTGAGAAGATTCAAACTGGTAACATTGGGGAACAAACACAAGGCCTGACCAATTGAACATCCCCTCAAAGTTATGATACAATATACAAATGAATAAATGTGTATAAATAGTAAACACATAGCATATTAACCAACATAACAAAGAGCCAGTGTGTATAATCATGAGCAAGATCAAAAATAAGAAGAATGGACTAAAGGTTCAATTGGGTAGCCGTTTAGTAATGGCGGACCCAGCATTCGGCGAGGGGGCGCGGCCGCGCATGCTGGGCTCATTCAGAATCGTGGGTTGTGGAAGGAAGAGGAAGAATCGAAGGAAGAGGACGACTGGAATTCTTTCTGGTTTGTTTTTTTTTTTTTTTTAATTATAGTTTGGGCTTATTCTTCCAGCTCTGACCTGTGGGCCTTTTTTAAAATAACTAGGCCCAATTCATCATTGAGTCATTGATCCATTACCAATTTAATGATCCATATGAATTTTGCCCACTGTGAAAGAGAACGAAGATGAGAAGAAAGAGAACGTAATACATGCACGCCACTGGACACGGCAGACGGACCACACAACAGTGAGCTCAGTTGGGAGTGTTACCCATGTTGGAAGAGCGTCGTTGTGCAGCCGTGATTCGTGTGGCCACAGCGCCAAAACGTTGTTGCATGCGGGTGCGTTTGCAAGCAGTGGAAGAAGAAGAAGGTTACAAAAGATGTGGTCGAGAAGGTGTCCGTTAATCCATAGGCTGCAAAAATCACCTTCCCATCTTGCCTCAAGAAGGTTAAATTTTTATGTTTTTGGTCTATTTTGAAGTACTTCTGTTTGAAATTAGTGATTCGGGAATTTCGTGGATTTTGATATCAGTGATCTGAGTCTGGCTCAAGAACTGTTGTTCATTTAATAACTATACACAATCAGGGCATCCGAATTGGAATAGAAATAACTCCCTTCGAATTTGATATGGTTGTTTATGAATGGAAATCGTCATGTTGCCAATTGCTTTTGAGAAATAGCTGTAGCCTGTTAGTCATTTTCTAATTGAACCAACTTTAGTTCATTTGTATTTAATTGATGATTCTATTTTGTATAATTTCAATAGACTTGGGCTAAGTTTCTTGGAATAAAATGATACATATGCTTTTACATTGTGGAAAGTGAAAAATTCTTGAGCATTGTTTTGTAGCAGAAAGTATTGGTTTTGGCGTTGGAATTGGGTGGGGATAAAAGATGGGTCAACCTAAGGAGTTGAAGGTCTACAAGATTTTGTATTCCAATCAGTCTTAAAAAATTCATTTGCGACGATGAGTTTAGAATTGTGGAGAGATGAAGAAGATCAAGTCAGAGGCTTGTGTGTCACAGGATCTATTCCCATTCAAAGAAGCCTTTTTTTTTTTTTTAATATGTGTGTTCTAAAGAGGTATGTCGTGTTGTTTGAGGAGTTGACAAATGTTGCGGTCAACGATCAATGATTAACGACCGCCCTATCTCACTCGAAATCCTGGATCTGCCACTACCGGTTAGCTTGCCAACATATGTATCTAACTGTGCAATCTTGAATCCTAACAGTTATTGGCTAAGAAGCACGAATTCGCATATGAATTTTATCTTAATCCTTAATTTTTCCAACTTCATTTTTTTCAACATCAGCAACATCATTTTCTTCTTTATTATCATTAAAAATAACACTCTCCAATTTTGGCTCGTCTAATGATAGATTAGAAACCTTGAGCAGCCCAACACATTCAATAGTATCAAATGAGTTCCCATCAATGTCCCACATTTAGAATTCTTCTGTTGAATTGAAATTTAATACTATTATCCATTTTCAATAATAAAAATATACTCGTCAATTATTAACACGATTTTACAGGTATTAAAAGATATAAAACTATTGTGTATTTCCAATAAAAAAAACTCTTAACTGTCAATTAAATTAAAATTCTAGTTGTGCATTTCCAATAAACATTATCTATTTTTAATAACTTATTGATAATTATAATAATATTTATCTATTAAGTAAGTTTTTTTTGTCAATCTATAGTTTAAAACTAAAAAAAATCTTATTCATATGTCCTAGCATATCCGACATGTATAAAAAATAATTAAAAATATAAGTTAATTAAGAAATATGCATCCGATACGTATCAGAAAAAAAAAAACAAAACAATTAATAAAAAAACATGTATATTTTTGGAGCGTATCAAAGAATACCCAAGCTTGGATACGTATCAAATACGACTACATAATGAGTTTACATATATCAGTGCTTCATAGGGTATTGGAAGTCTTGCCGACTTAATCATGTCATCCCAGACCAAGAGAAACTAGGAGCCTCTTTAACATGTTTCAGACCACGAGTCCCTCTCAAAAAGATACGAGTATTAACTAAAATTAAAATTCTTTCCTTCTAGCAGAAAGTTTTAGCTAGTGCTGAACCAGCCCCATATGTTTATACTTGATGGCTAAATAAAAATATAATCCAATATAATGAGAAGATAACAACTTACCAATTATCAAGACTGATAGACATCAGGTAGCCGGAGACCCACACTCGCAGCAGATTTTCCTAGTATTCTTTTCATCTCATCAGATCTATCCACTGCAATGTTGTATGAAAACAGTAGATCCTGCATCACCACCATGACACAAAATCAAATTTTGAAATATAACTAATTACTAGTATTGCAATTAGGAAAAAGGCTAAGAGCTGACGTGCTTACATTTTGAGTTCAGTAAAAGGGTTATTCAAGCTAGATATTCCCACATCCGCATATATACAAACACAGATAAAGAAGAAACATTTTAAATCAAGTCAACCAATTCAAAAGTCAGTCCAACAGGCAGAAAATAGTGGTCGTTTTTTAGAATCATTAAACTCAAGAATGAAATCCATACATATTATTGTGCCTTAAATATTGAAGGTTGATTGGGCAGTAATTTCTGACAAGACATCTATGAGCAAGTATCAAGTAAACATAGCAATAGTAGGCACAGATTGAGGACCCTTCTTGGCAAGCAGAAACCAATGGCGGAGTTAGGATTTAGCCCGAGTGGATGACCCTATGCCCCCCCACACCAAATTAAAACAATATATCTCAGCCCATGAAGTGGTATCTTTTTTAGGTCTCTATCAGTCCAAATTGAAATTTTATATAAATCTATTTTGATGAATAACAGAAACACGAATAGTCTCATATCTTCACAGAAGATAAATTTAAGAAACAAAAATCAAACTTCTTCAAGTTTTCATTAATCCTAATGCAGAATAGATTGAAATTTCACAATCGAATTAATAAGCAGCGTACGCCAAACAGAAGAAGAAGCAGGCACCAAAAAATGGGGTGAACCGGGGGAGAAGAGAGAAATCAGGGGAAAGGGAGAAAAAGTGGGCAGCCGCCAATCGAAATTTTATCAATTCATTAATTGTTCCAATTACAATGAAAAATCTAATAAATAGTAAAACCTAACCCTACTAGGGAAGGGTTTGGGCTAACTCAATAAGACAAGCCAATAATAGAAAACATAAATAATAAAAATTGACAATAAAAATAATCTCAATGGGCAAGCTCAATAATAGAAAATATAAAATCCACAATAAATTTAAATTTCGATGATGTCCGCATCAACTCTCTTGGAGTGGGAGAAAAACTCGACCCCGTCGAGTGGATAAGTCATCAAAGGCGGCAATCAATCGCCCAACCATAAACTAAGAGATTGAATGAGCTTCTTTCGACGTCCATAAAAGCGTGTCAGTGGTGGTCTGAATCTGGTGTCCCCATCAATGTCCTCTGAATGTGTATAAGGAGAACTGAGCAAAGGAAAATCTTTCTGACTCTGATAGAGCTCCAATAAATTTGGGCCAAGCTGTTGGAGGGTCTGTCTAGTAATCCATGTACAGTCAGACTTAGGCTAATTAGCCCAACGAACAAGGAAGCGTTGAACCACTCCATCTTTAGTCAACATAATATGTTCATCTAAAATAGTATCAATTTTATCTATGTGCTGGGAAATGTGGTATTGGGTTAGAAGTGACGAGAGATTTAAGATCCAGGTGATGCGGACATCATCGAGATGATCGAGATTTATTTATTTTTATTGTTATTGGACTTTATTATTTATGTTTTCTATTATTGGGCTTATAGTAGCGGGTTAGCCCAAACCCTTCAAGTTAGGTTTTTTTGCTATTTATTTGATTTTCATTGTAGTTGAATCGATTAATGATTGAATTAAATTACAATTGATGGCTACTAGGCTTTCTTCCCTCCCTTGTTCTTCTTACGATTTCTTCCCCTGCCTTTCCATTCTTCTTCTTCTTTTGCTTTGATTCGTCTTTCTATGGTAATAATTTCCAATTCATCCTACATCAAATTTGGTATTATAGCTAAACTCGAGAGATAATTCGTTTACACAACTCTCAACCACGGCCCACCATCGTTGTGAAACTAGTCGGCTGC